TGGAGGCGGTCCCCCCTCCTGCCCAGGGTGAGGCGTTTGGCACAGACTCTGCCTCTGGACTGAGTGGCCCTGGCAGGGCGAGGAGGATCTGCTTCATCTCGGCTCCTTCTCGGGGACACACGGTGGCATCTGGTGTCACGTCTGGTCTTCAGAGAGCTTACCCGCTCAGCCGTCTCTGTGCGCTCTGGGATACCCGCTGATGGCCCTGCACGGGGTCCTCCCTGGAAATGCCCATGGGCGCCAGCCTGCAACCCTGTGGGCCTGCAGCAGTCACCTACCTTCTAACACTTCTTCCTGCCTGGCTCGGAAGACCTCATCTTCCCTTGGGAAGATGAGCAAGGCCAGATTTCTACGGGCCAAGGGCTTTGAACACAATCCGCAAAAGCTTGGCTGGAGTGCTCGCCTTGGAGAAGGAAAACTCAGACGGTGAAAAACATTTGTGTTAGTAACACAACATGTCCTTTTCTTTAACAATCTTTTAAAAGTCTTTTTCGGAATAAAGTCTATTTTCTGCCTTTTCATTTTTAAGAACTTGAGAGGCCTTTTTATTTTAACCTAATCATTTAGGGATTAGCTTTCCAAAACAAGGCATTTGGTAAAGAGGCTACTAGAAGCCAGTGAAAAGAACTCTGGAAGACAGTCCTGCCCCCTCACTGCGACTGGGAGAGAACGCTGTATAAAAATAACCGGTTATCATGTCACAAACCAGGGTCTCACTCGAGGTGTGCATACATCCCCCTCCTTTTAGCTCTTCACTCAACAAATGTTTACTGTTGTGTCCTGTATGTGCCAAGTATTGTTGATCACATATGAGTCACATGGGGACAGAAAACCCCCGCAAGCAGGTCTCATGATGCTTACATTTCGAGGAGGCAAAACAATCAACAAGCCAAGCACGAAGTGTGTTAGATGTTTGCGTGGGCTGTGGAGAAAAAGCAGGATGGGGGGGCGATGCTGGGAGGGTGGCATTTAAAGTGGGACGGTCACTGTCGACGTCCCTGCTGTGGCCCGAGGCGGTGGGAACCACCAGGTGGCGTCTGCGGGTGGGGTGTGGTCCTGGGACCCCTCCTCACCTGGGCTTGTACCACTTCTCTGTGGGCCGACCAGTTCTTGTGTTCCTTACAGCAAAGGTCTTCCATAAACTTGAAACAGAAATTGAAAACTGTCATTTTCCTTCCCAGAGTCCCTCTTGGGCCAAGGACCACGTCACCCTGGCGGTGAACAGTAACCCGTCCTCCGGGAGATACACGCCTCGAAGCTCATACTGATTTGCAGAGAGTGATGCCCCCGAAGGGCAGTCAGGGGACCCCCCAGTGATGCTCAGGGACCGTAGGGGATGGTGGTGATGGGGGGTGGTCTCCGTTGAAGGTGGGGGTGGTTTTTAGCCTCCCCGTAAGTGGCAGCTACGATAAGATCCGGTCACTACCTCCTCCTCGGACACTGTGTGTGTGAGTTGCTCAGTCGTGTCTGACGCTTTGTGACCCCATGGACTGTAGCCTGCCAGGCTCTGTCCATGGGTTTTCCAGGCAAGAATATCGGAGTGGGTCACTGTTTCCTTCTCTAGGGGTCTTCCTGACGCAGGGATGGCACCTGGGTCTCTTGCGTCATGGGCAGAATCTTTACCATCTGAGCCACCAGGGAAGGTACACAGTTAGATTTGTCTTAAAACTCAAGACAACGCTGGCCGGGTCTGTTCTGCCCGGCCAGGCAGCACAGCCGATCCGTCTGTGGGTGACGGGGGTTCCTGGCCGGAGGGGATGTGTCAGGCCCTTCCCACGACTTCCTCTGTGCTCCTCTCTCTCTCCAGTTCTGTCCTCTCATTCCCAGCCCCACTCCCCAGCCCCACAGCATTGAACAGAGAGGCCTTCTGTGCCACTGGCTTGGTCACTGTGTTTCTCTTTTTGTTCCTGCGAAGGGTCAGGCTCTGGACACCTCTCACATGAGCAGATGCGTGGCTGACACCCTGAGTGAAGCAACCCCGGGCTGGCCCTGATGTGACCTCTCCTCTCACACTCAGACTGCGTCTGTTCATGGACTTTGGGGTCAGTAGCTGGGGCCAGTGCAGACCCCTGAAAAGGCAAAAGGACTCCACCACTGGCTCTCGCGGTAGACTATCTCTTCTAAGATGCCTGGGTCCTTCTTTTAAGTTTTGACAGCTATCAAGGGGCTGTTGGAGTAACTCCCATCTTCTTGGCCATCCTTCCTGCGGTGCATCCACATCTGGCTTCTCTAGGACATTGTTTTTTTAAAAAAATGGAAATGTGAGACATATACTCTAAAACCATTTTCAAGTGTATAAGTGGGTTTAGCCTATTAGTCTTTTGTGCGACCATCACAACGATCTCGTTCCACACGCTCCCTCTGGAGAGCTTTTCACCATTGTGAGCCCCCCACATCCCCACCAGCAGGGTTACACATGATCAAACCAAGGGCAGGTGGGGACTTCCCTGGTGGTCCAGTGGCTAGAATGCAGAGGCCCAGGTTTGATCCCTGGTCAGGGAACTAGATCCCACATACCACAACTAAGACCTGGAGCAGCCAAATAAAATTTAATAAAAAACCAAAAAACCAAAGGGAAGGCAGAGTGACCACTGAGGGTGCTCTTTCCTTCTGTGGCCCTGTATTTTTAAGAGCGGGTTCCGTGCTGGGGCTCTTTGTGACCCTCCAGACCGTAGCCTGCCAGGCTCCTCTGTCCATGGGATTTTCTAGGCAGGAATACTGAATGGATTGCCATTTCCTCCTCCAGAGGAGCTTCCCGACCCAGGGATCGAACCTGCATCTCCTGCACTCCAGGTGGATTCTTCACCCACTGAGCCATCAAGGAAGCCCCTAAGAGTGAGTTGGGGAACTTTAAAAACTATACTGAAGCCAAGAATTGAATCACTCTTTGGGGGGCGGTCCCAGCACAGGGAACCCCTCCCACCCTCCAGGAGTGATTTGCTGTGGTGAGATCCCCGCCACGCAGCAACCAAGCTGCTCCCACGTGGAATTATGCCTGGCTGGGGGGAGGGGCACCAGCCAGTCCCCCCACATCCACGGTACCCGCCGTTCCTGACTGCACTGGGAAGGCTCTTGAGTCGGCCAGGGTCATCTCTCCTGAGATAGGCGGCTGGGCCCCTGGCTGCCCCCTCTCCTTCTCCTATCAGCCATATTCAGTAACCCAGACTCACCATTCAGGTGCGAAGTTTGATCTCTTGCACGAAGTCCTCCGCGGCTCCCCACGGTCTGTAGTGGACTGTGAGGCCTCCAGCTGGCCTGACAACCCACCTTGTATTTCAGCCTCATTTCCTACCAGCCCCGTCCATTTCCGCACTCCCCTACTTCTCCTCGCTTCTCTGCTAGGCTCTCTGCGCTTTTGTTGTCCCTTCTGTTTGGGTGCCCTGGCTTAACCAAGCTCAACCTAACATCCTGACTACTTCTTCCTCCTGCCTGACTGTGGTCATGGCCCCAGGGCACGGCAGCATCCCCTTGTGGTCGAGCCTGGCACCGCACTTCCCCGAAATAGCCCATTTCCACATCTTTAAACCTGGAGCAACTCAGGGGCCAGGGGCCGTGGCGGAATCATCTGGGTCTCCAGTGTGCCCTGCTGCCAGCCCCCAACCCGAGGTCTGGCCTTGCCCTACAGACACTAAACATGAATGAGCAGTGGGAAAAGGAGGCCTTTGCCACTGTTAGGGGCAATTGAGTCCCCACCGATGCTGTGGCCCCTGTTTGAAATGTGAGGGGTTGAGGAGGGTGCTTTGTGCTTGCAAACCCCAGGAAGAAAAGCCTTTGCAGCAGCCAGAAGGACTGAGGGTCCAAGCACCTCCTTGGACTGAGGGTGGTGAACGAGCGCTTCAGCTCCCGTTTTCACCCCCTCCCATTGTTAGGGCTACTTTTCCTGCAAGGCAGGGCTGGGGGGGAGTGTGGGGTCTGATGTAGGCAGAGCCCTGCCCTGCTCACACCTGCCCTCCCTGGAGAACACCAGCGAGGAGCAGAATGAGGGTGCGCAAGGTCCAAACCTGCTGGTCTCAGGCCTCTATTTTTTTCAGCCATGTCGCACAACATGTGGGATCTTAGTTCCCTGACCAGGGATTGAACCCATGCCCGCTGCACTACAAGTGCAGTCTTAACCACTGGGCCCCCAGGGAAGTTCCTCAAGCCTTTCTTGCCAGGGCAGCCTGTGTCCACCTGCCAAGGGAGCAGGAGTCCCAACTCCAGAGTGCTTGTGGGAGGGATGCTAAGCCTCCTGACCTCAGGTGTCTTCTCTGGAGGCATCAGCTCCTGGGCTTCCAGCCCCAAGAGACCTTTTCCTGGGGGTGTGACGTCCTCAGCAGGGCCCCCGACCCCCAGGCCCACCTCTGCCAGAGATGTGAGGTGGGGGGGGGGATGGTGAATGTAGCAGCCAGGCCAAGGTGGCCCCAAGGTTACCTTGACCTCTTGGTTTTCACACCCCTATGGTCTCCTCCAGGGCTCAGTCAGAGCTGGGCTGCAATGATGACAGAACATGGTGGAAAGGATGGTACATGAATTCTGAGGCTAGAAGAAAAACAATTTTTTTTTTTAGGTTCTGCCTTGGTCCTTGAATCACTTACTCTGGGGAAAACCAAGCACTTACTGTCAGGACATTCAAGCAGTGGAGACTCATGTGGGGACGGGCTGGCAGCCAGGCCCATCTCGCCAGCCTTGTGGAGGGGAGCACCTTAGAAATGGACCCTCTGGTCCCAGCAGAGGCTCTCAGATGCCTGCAGCCTCCTGAGAGTCTGAGCCCAAACTGTTCCCAAATGCCAAACCACAGAGACCAAGACACACAGATGGACCGTTTTAAAGCCTTACGCTTTGGGGGCAACGTGTTACACAGCATTAAGACAACCCCTCTTGCTCTCAGGGCGATTTCCTCTCATATTCTTGTTCTGCCTCCTCGCAGCTCCAGGCCGCTGTTCCCCCAACCACAGCACAGAGAAGGGAGGCAGGAGACGTGGCCCCGGATCAGCATGAAATCAGACAGCCGTCAGCCAGCATCATTTGTTTTTTCTTCCATTTTAATGAACACTTTACAAAGTACAAAATATACTGTCTTTTTGGGGGGAACATTAGGTACTTTTTTTCTCTCCGTCATACAGTACATGAATCTCGAGGGTTTTGTGTTTCTTCAAGAAAGAAAGAAAGCGTGAGGGCCCTGGGCAGGGCTGCTCTGTTCTCCCCGTGCCCAGAACGTGGGACAGATAGATCTAAGTGCCACTGGTACTGCTGGTGACCCGGGGTGTGCCAGACCCCCAAGGCAAGGCCCCGGGCAGGGCAGAGGCCTCTCAACCCCGCTGTGCAGCCAACAGCCACTCACCCCCGTCTCGGGATAACGGAAATGGTTTTGGCAAAGAGCAGGAGGAGAGCTTGGGATTTTGTTTGCCGTTAGCCTCTCCACTCCACCTCCAGTTTTGGAGCCAATGCTGCCCTGCTCTCCCTGGACCGTTTTCTGAACAAGATAAGCTGAAGCAGTGGACAGGAAGATGCACTAGGCTTGGCCTCTGCCCCGGGACCTGAATTTGGCCTGTTTTCCACAAGCTCCTTGCCCCCCACTCTGGCCTTGTTGGATGGACGCTCTCTGTGGATGAGCCCCAATAGGCAAGGGGGGCACTGGCCCCCAGAACCTCTCCTTGTAAATACTGTCTTCAGGGCTGGCTGCTTCTGAGGAGTCTGCTGGGCAGATCTAGCCCTTGGGGCTGGCCGCGTGGACCACCGGGCCTCTGCAGGGTGGAGCAGGGCCCCATGGGGACCCCTCTGACCTCTCCCCAGTGTCAGTAGTTCAGTCGTGTCCGACTGTTTGCCACCCCATGGACTGTAGCCTGCCAGGCTTCTCTGTCCATGGAGTTCTCCAGGCAAGAACACTGGAATGGGTTGCCATTTCCTCCTCCAGGGAACCTTCCCGACCCAGGGATCGAACCCGGGTCTCCCGTGCTGCAGGCACTCTGCCGTCTGGGCCACCGGGGAAGCCTGCCCCCTCCCCGGAGCGGTCTTAACAAAGTCAAGGGGAGTTCGAGGCCTGCCATCCCCACCCCTTCAATTCTGCATGTGGCCCACAGTAAGAATACACCGAGGCCTTGAAATACTGAACGAGTCAGTCCTTTTGCTCAAGTTTGGGCTCTGCAGGTGTGTGCTCCCATATACACCAGTGTTGACACAGCACACGTTCACACTCACATGCACATTTACACACACGTGTGCCAACGCTGCTCTGACTCCCAACACTTCTCACTCTCACAGCCTGCCCGACCAAGAACCAAGAGCCACAAGCCCCCTCACCTCCAGGTTGCCCACGGAAGCCACGGGCCAGGCCACAGGCTTCTACCTCCATTCCAGGCCGTTCCCGGGCCTTCAGCTCCAAGGGCAGAGGTTGCCTCAGCCCACAGCTCCCATCCTCCCCTCCCAAGAAAACAGGCTTTCCCGGAGGATTTGGGTTTCAAAGCTGAAGGCCATAGCCCACCCCACAGCTTTCTCCCTTGGTCTATGGAAAAGAATCCTTTTGCTGCCTCTAATTTGAAAAATGAAAGAAAGGAAAAGAAACTGGAGTGTAAGAAAAGCTATCTAGCTATACCAGGGCTCAACTCCCCTCACAAGTCCCGGCCACTCTTCCCAAGCCTGCCCTCTGCTGGGCTGACCACCGTCCGCCATCTTGGTCACGCCCCTCCCAGGCAGCCTCTCTGAATAGAGCCTACTGCCCACTCCAGGCCTCGCCCTTGCCTCAGCACAGCATCCAGGAAACCTGAAAAGCCAAAACCCCTGTCTTTCCACTGTTGGGAGACCCCATCGACCTCCCTCCCCCAGGCTGTTTGTCAAGTCAACAGCTGACTCCACTTCATGGCGGCCATGACAGTGGCAGGCTGACGACTCCCCAGCCCTGGCTGGGCAGACAGACTGGGGGCACTTCCTTTCTATGCCCCTACCATTTTCACTCAGGGAAGTGGCCATACACCTTCATCAGCCACCACCTGGAAGGTCCCCACTCGTAGCTGGGGCTGGGACGGGCCCTGGTTGTGCCCACATCCTGATCCAGGGACTCAGAAAGGTGGCCCAGGGTGGCTGGGAACTGTGACTGGAAGGCGCTGGTGGCGGGTGGGCAGGTTCATCTTCAGTCATCAGGCAAATGGTGCCCTTGGCTTGGGGTCGGGGCCTGGCCCTTCCTGTCACCCCAGAGCCTCCTGTCCCAAGCTCTGAGGCCTCCTCCTCTGTCACCTCCCAGGGGACATGCCCCAGCCGACCATGTATCTTCTGGGCACACCACACTGGTCACTGTGTGGTGCGCTGCCCGAATGGGGAGGTCACAGTGGCCAGCTCCAGGTCACCCGGTCCCTCCCTCCCCACCGGGGGCCTGGGGCCTGGAGCTGACGGGAGGGGGAGAATGCTGGTGCTTCGGGGGTTCTGGGACCCCTGAATCCTGGGGAAGGGAGGGCTGTGAGCCTCTCCTGCTTGGATGGGTGTTCTGGGTGGAGGGCAGTGGGGAGGGCACCACCTCCTAGGGGGCTTTGGAGACCCCCGTGGAGAGAGGGGGTGTCGAGTGGGCACTGCTGAGTCTCTGCTGCGCCAGGACTGGGGCTGAGGTGGAAAGGGGTTTCTTAGGAGCCAGGGGAGTGCAAGTTGAGTGTTGAACCAAAGAGGCAGATTTTCATAACGGGGGGTGGGGGCAAAGTGGGGGTCTCGACTCCCCATCTCCCTCACTCTCCCTACCTTAACCTCTCACCCTGTGTTCACGGATGAGGCAGGTGAGGAGTGAGGGGGCGGTGAGACAGTTTGCGCTTTTCTTACCAGGGAACAGCGCACACGAGACACAGCTGGGACCCTGGTGGCGGCTCCGGGGCTCCATGCTCAGTAAGCCCGAGCCAAGAGCGTCTCAGCTCAACAGGGCCGCTTCGGGCCGCCTCCCTGTGGGTCTGGAGACCCCTGGGGGCAGCCAGCCAGTGGGGTGATCATTTTCTCTTCCCCAGACTGCTGGACATCAAGTCACTGGCTCATGGGCACATAGACACTGAGGATGCTCTGGCCTCCCCGCATGGCAAGAGGATGGGGAGGGCTGGGAAACAGAGGGTGGGGTTCCCAGCCCATGGGTTGGATACACACCAGTGTAACCTGGAGAGCCGAATCCTTGCACCAACCTCTCAAGGAAACAATGTCCAGGGCTTCCATCTCTTTCTCGGTTACCTGGGGCCAGTCCCCAGGAGGAGACCCGAGGAAAGAACCTGTGGCTTCTAACCTTGCAGGTGAAAGAAATCCAGTGATGGAGGTGCTGCGGGGTGGAAGCAGACCTGGACTGGGCAATGGCGAAGGGGCTGTTCCTTTTCAAACGCGCTTCCCCTTTATGGCCCTGTCCCCAAAATAAAACAAGGGTGTCCAGGGGCCTTGGAAATGGAACTAAAGGGAGGGGCTGGATCCCAGCTTTCAAAGGAGATTCAGGGAGGAGGGGGTAGGGACCCTCAACCCCTACCCTGGGGCTCTGTTCTCGGTTGCTGGTCTGATTCTCTCAAGTCAGGGCCGAGGCAGCCAGCCAGCTTCTCTGATCATCGTATTGCCTATATACTTGAATTAAAAATACATGGTGGCTCAAAACGTGCCTGTGTGCACGGCAGACACAGCAGGGCGGAGGCCCTCACGCCCACACATACACGCACACACGTGTGTGCACGCTCACACGGTATATATTAACATATATATTGCTCAAGTATATATGCTATTTACAGTATATATCTATATCAACATAAAACACAGGTATTTATATGTGTGTACAATTACGTCCTAGGGGGTCTGGGGGGATCACACGTTTCTTGGGGTCACGGGGCCGACACACTAGCTTGGCGGGGAGGAGAGGCGGGGGAGCGACACGGGCAGGAGCTGACAGGAAGGGGTCTGGAGGGTACACCACAGAAAAATCAAGGCCTTCCCGGAACAGAGGGGGTGCTCAGGACGTGGGAGGCTGCCCTGCCCACACGGTCACCCCGGTTTTGGAACCAGCAAACAACTGACATGTTTTGGTTTTTCTGGAGTTTTGTGCAAAATGACTTCCAAAAAAGAGGTTCCGAATCAGTGCTTGGGCTCTGAACATCTGTAAGGATTCAGAGACACGCTTCCATCACTGGGTGGGTTTCCAGGGCTCAGAGGGTCCCATGTGGCCTGGAGAAGGGGGAGAGTGGGGCTTCACCCGGTCAAGAGAATGGCCCCTCTCCTCCCAGCTTCTCAGGGATGGCCCAGACAACACCGCCAGCTGGGGAGGAGGCAGGGGCGTCGCCCTGTTCTCCGGGGTGGGGGCTGGTCTGCCACCTGGCTGTCCGTCTGCCCACAGCCCGTCAAACCTTCCTCTGAAGGTTAAAACCACTAACCTTCAGAGTGGTTAGACACGCTTAGAACAGTGCTTAGAACCACTCTGCCCTGGCAGCTCTGTGTGGGGTGCCCCTGGGGACCCCTGGATCGTAACTGACCTCTGCTCCCAGCTGCCTGCTCTGAAGGGAAAGCCAAGGCCCCTGGCGGCAGCTCCGATTCTCAAGCCTGTCCCTGGAGCCACAGGATGTCAAACCAAGCGATGTCACACTTTGGGTCCCGACAGCGTCTGCAGGCCCTGTCCCCTGAAACTATTGCCAGTCGCAGCCTGGGTAACAAACACATTAAATAGGAAGCTACAAGGTATGGTTTTCTCTATTAAGGCTCAGATAAGCTGCCTCCCAGGTCAAATTCTCATGAACCCCACGGTCCCTGGACAGAGGGGTGGGCGGGCGGGCGAGTTGGGGGCAGGGGCCTTCCATGTTCCCCCACAAGCGGGGCAGGGAGAGGAGGGCAGGACGTTGGGGGAGCCCTGTGCTGGTCTCGTTGATTGCTGGGGAGGTGGGGGTGACCTAAGAAAACCCCAGCTCAGAATGCTGGGGATGCCCCCACTTGGGGAAAACTGAGGCTCTGCCAGCCCCAGGAGGGTCCGGGGAAAGCAGACGGGATAGGAGCTGTTGCCCCAGGCTGGTGGGTCTCCTGGGAACCACCCCCCCACCCCCCAGGATGAGCGCTTGTGGTGGGGAAGGTCTGGACAGGGCCCCCTTGGCAGTCTTGCTGGGAGTCGGGGTACAGGCCCTGTGGTTGGCAGCCAAGGAAGGTTCTGGGTGGCCGAGGTCCCCCCCAGCTCAGGGCCCCACCCTCAGAGCTTCACCAGCACAGGATTAGAGAGCCGCCCACTGGCCTCCACTCTGCAGGGACCAGCCCAGAGCCGATGGGACCAGAGACAAGATGGGGTCCAGAGCCCCTGCCCTCATGAGGGCCTTCCCCGGCTCTATGAACTCGGCCCTGCTCAGCCAGCCCCCCAAGATGACGCGAGAATCGGTACCCCAGTGTCCCGGAGGCACCAGCTTCCTTTGGCGTTTGCCCTCGGCCGTGGGTGAGGCTGGACGAGAAGGTGGGTCAGCGGAGAAGCTCTCTTGGCCCTGGACATCATTTTCTGGAGTGAGGGTGGGGGAGGAGGAGAGGGCGTGCTCTCTGGAGGGTCTGGGGGCTCCAGGAAGGCAGGAGAAGGGCATGGGGAGGCCTTGGCTTGGGTCCAGGCCTGGCGGGGTCAGCCATCGGGGGGTGTCTCCTAGAGACCCCACCTCTGGGGGCCCCGGGGCCGGTTTTCCAGTCTGTTGAGAAATACTGCAAGAAGAGTCTTCAGGGTGGGGCCGGGTCCAGGCCTGGGGAGGGGACGCGGATGGGGAGGAGCGGAAGGGGCCCTTCTAGTGCTTCTCTGCTTGGCTGACTTTCAGGGCGCTGATGACGCTGTTGATGTTTTCTTCCGGTACCTGTGAGGGGCGGGAAGTAAACATCTGGGAGCCGCCGGACCAGGCCTCCCCTGCCCCGGGGTAGGTGCCCAACACTCACCAGTGCGTGGTCAAACTTGAAGGTGCTGATGTAGTAGGCAGGGATGTCTGCGGCAGCCAAGGGCTCGGAGATCTGGGCCACGATGCCGCACTCATCTGGGGACAGAGGCGGGGACCACGCTCAGCCCTCCCCGCTGTTGGCACCCAGCGCAGCCTCGGTCGTTCCCCGCCAGGTCTCTCAAGCTCCTGCTTTTCTGCCTGGTCTCCCGGGGCTCCTGGCGGGACCCACAGGCCCCTCTGGTGGTCGTACAGGCCTCGTGCCTGCACTCCTGGTGACTGTCCTGCTACGTGGTGGAGACTGGTTGTGTCCTAAGATTCTTAAACTACAGACACATTCACTTTTATTTCTATAAAATAAGGCGGGAGGGAGATGAGGGACTAGAATGGTACCTTTCAAACAGTGGCTGGTGACCTGTTTGGGACATGAATTTAGAAGGCTGGTGACTAGCGCTTTAGAAAGCGACAATAAGGGACTTCCCTGGTGGGTCCGATGGTTAAGAATCCGCCTGCCAATGCAGGGGACCCAGGTTCGATCCCTGATCTGGGAAGATTCCACATGCTGCGGGGCAACGAAGTCCTCGCACTGCAATGAGCGAAGGCCAGGAGCCTGTGCTCCGCAACTAGGGACGCCACCGCAATGAGAAGCCTGGACACTGCAACTAGGGAGTAGCCCCTGCTCTCTCCAACTAGAGAGAGCTCTCGGGCAGCAGCACAGACCCAGCGCAGCCAAACATAAGTAAATAAAACTAACAACAACAACAAAAGACAACAGGAACGGGAAGGGCCAAGAGCTCGGACAGCACTGCCGTGAGTGCAGTTTTGTGAAACTGTAGAGTTGTTTAGGGTATGTGTGTGCTGGGCTCTGATGGAAAACACATTTCCGGCAAGCCATGGTCAAAAACATATGGCGTCTGCCAATCTAGAATCTTTCTGATTCTCAAAAAGTTGTTTTTCTTGCAGGGCTATTTTTAATTGTTTTTGGCCGAGGTGGGTCTTCATGGCTGCATGGGCTTTGCTGGAGTTGCAGCAGGTGGGGGCTACTCTCCGGTTGTGGTGTGTGGGTTTCTGATTGCCGTGGCTTCTCTTGTCGCAGAGCACGGGCTCTAGGGCGTGTAGGCTTCAGGAGCTGACACTCCCACACTCTAGACCACCGGCTCAATAGCTGCGGCGCATGGGCTTAGCTGCTCTGCGGCATGTGGGATCCTCCCGGATCAGGGATCGAACCTGTGTCTCCTGCCCTGGTAGGTGGATTCTTTACCACTGAGCCACTCGGGAAGCCTTGCAGGGCTATTTATAGCTATCAGCCTGGCCTTAACACCCTCCACACTCCAGGAAGGCAGGTTCCACTGCTGCTTCTTATATGCCAAATGCTAGGACCCCTGGTGCCTGCCCATGAGGCCACTCAAAGCAGCACTCAGCAACTACACATGCTAAGATGATTCACGTTTCATTCACTATCCCACCTCAATTCTCCCTTCATCCTGACTTTCTTTTTTCTGTAATGTTATTATACTGGGTGTGCTTTGGTAAACTCTAAACCAAAACTGGGAATAAAAAAACAAGCTGATACACATGGCTGATTATTAGAGAAATACATATAAAATGACAATGAGGTACCACCTCTCACCCCAATCAGAAGAGCCATCATTAAAAAAAGTCTACAAATAACAAATGCCGGGGAAGCTGGGGGGAAAAGGGAACCTTCCTATAATTGATGGTGAGAATGTAAGTTGGTGCAGCCATTATGGAAAACAGATATGGAGGTTCTGCAGAAAACTAAAAGTAGAATTATCATGTGATCTAGGAATCCCACTCCTGGACATATATCTGGACAAAACTCTAATTTGAAAAGGAACACACGTCCCTGTGTTCACAGCAGCCAAGACGTGGAAACAACTGAAATGTGTACTGACAGATGAATGGATAAAGAAGATGAGGTGGAAGAAAATCAGGAAGGACAAGCATCCTATGATATCGCTTACATGTTGAATCTAAAATATGATACAAATGAACTAATCCACAGACTTCCCTGGTGGTCCACTGGTTAAGAATCCACCTGCCCATGCAGGGGACTTGGGTTCAATCCCTGCTCTGGGAAGACTCCACATGCCAAGGGGCAAGTAAGCCTGTGTGCCACAACTGCCGAGCCCACGAGCTGCCACTACTGAAGCCCCAGTGCCTAGAGCCCATGCTCCACAACAAGAGAAACCGCCACAGTGAGAAGCCGGAGCACTGCAACTAGAGAGTAACCCCTACTCAATGCAGCTAGAGAAAGCCCGTATATAGCAACGAAGACCCAGCCCAGCACCCCCTCCCCCCAAAAAACTGTACTCACTTACAAAACAGAAATAGACTCATAGACACAGCAAATAAACATGGTTACCAAAGGGGAAAGGGGGTCAGTGGGGGGATAAATTAGAATGAGTATGGGATGAATAGATACCCACTACTACACATAAAACAGTGTCGAATCCCAGGGGCTCACCAAATCCCAGAGGCTGTCCTCCGATCCGCACCATCTTCCAGAGCTCCCCAGATGCGCTCGTGAACAACAAATTACTAGGAAACCTTAAAAGGGAGCAAGATATGTCAACCCCCAGATGCTGAGAGTGCACCCTCTGCCAGCTGTCCCTGGAACGCTCCCTGTCGCGGGGGCATTGATGCTGGGCTGGAACTCAGGGGCCCCTAGGACCCTCCGAGCCCTCAGCCCACGCGCTCTGCACCTTCCTCCTCCAGGGGTGGGTGGGGTGGGGAGCAGGACGGCAAAGCTGGGATTGTGCTTTGGAACAACTGCCCCCTTTGCTCAGGCTGGTCAGGGTACCCCTCCTCAGCTCCAGACTGGAGGGATGGGGTGGGGGGGTCAAACAGCACTGGATGGCGCTGGGTGACTCAGGGCCTTCGTCTCTGAGTGGCCTGTCATTTGTAAGGTGGGGCCACTCACCTGCAATGAAGGGCTGGGGTGGGGACTTGTTAGGACCGAGTGGGTAACAGGCCCATCGTCAGCTTCCACCCAGGGCCCGGCTCACCTCTGCTGGGTCTGCACATCCATCACCAGGGAGATGTAACCCTCGATGAGGGAGAAGGAGAAGAAGCGGATGTGGTCGCAGTCATCGCCGGACGCCAGCGGGTCCTTCACTCTGGGGGCCGGGCGAGATGGTGAGCGGCGGAGGAGGGACCCACTGCACCCTGACCTGCGCCCGGCCCACCTGCCCTGGCTGTTAGCTACGGGGTGTCCAGGCAGGCACCGACCAAATCCGTGCTCTGCTCCTGCCTTGCTGGGGGACCCCTGAGCCCCCCAATACTGGGAGCCCCCGCACTGGTCTCCACACCGGTGAGATGCAGGTGATTCCACGGCATTCACGGGGGTGAGCACCGCCTTTCACAGTGTTGAAGACCCAGCCAGCTCTCTGCATGAGCTTATATTTGCCCCTTCCTGGACAGGGTTTCTCTGTCCCTGTGTTGGCCAACATCTCAGGGCACAGTCTGTGGTCACTGCCAGCTTGCTAGCCCCTGGCCCCACCCCACTTGGTGTTGGCCGAAACTTAAAATCTGCCCGGAGGAAAAATGTAAAGTTGTCCTCCACCAAATGAAAAAAACCTGAGTCCCTGGCTCTTCAAATGACTGGGCTTGCCCAGGAGCTCAGGGGACCCTGGGGTGTTCATAACATCTGTATGTGGGCCTGGGGTTTCATCAAGTTTTGGGGTTTGCAATGAATCAATTCTCACCTTTAAGAAAGGGGATCTGGGGTAGAGTCATGTCTCTCTTCTCAAGCTAGCTCTCAGGGCAGGTCTGTGCCTCCTCCCTTAGATTAGCTCCCAGGGCAGGTCTGTTTCTCCCCCCTCAGACTGGGGCTTGTAGGCAGATTTGTGTCTCCTTGGCCCACCCTGCAGCCCCTCGCCCCCGAGGGGGCCCTACCCGTTGGAGTAAAACATGACGTCCATGAGGAGTGTGGCAACGGTGGGCAGTGTGTCGGGGTCCAGGCTGGTGACACAGAACCTATTGCTCGGGCTGGACAGTGGGTGGATGACGGGCCTCTGGACTGCGGGAGCACAAATACAAGGGATGCTGAGGGCAGGAGGAGAGGAGGCGGCAAGGGGCCTGGGAGGAGGGGGGTGGTCAGCCAGCAGCTGCTCTGGGGAAGTCCAATGGCAGGCTCTGAGATCCGGCCCCAGTCACTTTTGCAGCTCCCAGCACCCCCTGCAACTCTCCTAATTCTCAGACCCCTGGGCCTTTGCACGTGCCATGCCATCTGCCCAGAAAGCCCTTCCCAAACTTCACCACCTATCTTATTAGCTCCTACTTGTGCTGTAAGTTTTTCAGCCTGAGAGTCACTGCTTCTGGGAGGCCCACATTGATACCCCGCGCTGGGTCAGGAGTGGCCCCTGGCCATTTCTGGCTATGTCCACATCCGTCACCCTTTGGAGATCCTGGGTCTGAGGACTGTTGAACCATGTGATGCCTGGCCCTCAGCCGAGGTTCTGAGAATGGGGGTGCCCTGGGGCAGCACCTGGTCATTTCCTAAAGTTTCTCTGCACAACCCTCCCCTCCCTCAACTCACCCATCTTGGGCTTCACAAAGCCATTGGTGATGCCGAGGTTCTCAGCTGCCACCGTCTCGCCATTGACGACCCGCAGGATGGTGAACTCTGATGACAAGGTGTGGGTGACGAAGGGCAGGTCCCGCTCACGCACCTGGGGATGAGGAGTCAATGAAGTGAGTGTACCATGATCCCCGGATGGAGTGGGGCTGGGGGCACCGGCCCCTTCACTCTGAAATTCTGTGCCCAGAACCAGCATCCCCCTCCCGTCCTCCCGCTGTCCTGATTGGGACAGGGGCACGTGGGACCAGGGACCTGGGACCTGGTACACGTGACTCTCCAGGGACAGAGGAAGGACCAGAGGGGAGAAGATGCTCCACTGAGGGCCAGGACGTGTGGGTCCACGCCCTACTCCCTTTAGAAAACGGGGCCGGGCCTGCCCCTGCCCCTCCTGGGCCCACACCCTCCAGGATGGCCACGCCCCATGGGAGAAGAGCATGAATAACAGTGGCCAGGAATTGCTGTAGGCTCTGTGACTGGACAGCGAGATCAAACTAGTCCATCCCAAAGGAAATCAACCGTGAATATTCATGGGAAGGCCTGACGCTGAAGCTCCAATACTCTGGCCACCTCATGCGAAGAGCTGACTCACTGGAAAAGACCTAGATGCTGGGCAAGATTGAGGGCAGGAGGAGAAGGGGACGACAGAGGATGAGATGGTTGGATGGCATCACCGACTCAATGGACATGAGTCTGAGTAAACTCTGGGAGATAATGAAGGACAAGGAAGCCTGGGGTCGCAAACTGCCACACGATTTAGCAACTCAACAACAANGGGGGGGTGGGCTGGGGACGAAGGGTTTATCTGCGCTGGGCCTCAGCCCCCAGCTGTGAAGGGTGAGTACTCGGCAGCGATTCTGCTGTTTCTGGTTCTCACGACCCTCCCGGGTGCCAGGTCCTGCTATCACCACCTTATCCAGGTGGAACAGGTCCTGTGGTTTTCAAACTGGTTCCCAGGAACCTCCCAGCGGGGCTGGGGGTGGAGGGGAGGGTGGCCAGGAGAAGACAGGATCGAGGGCCTAAGATTTCTCTCTCTGCTTTCATCAGACCTGTCACCCAAGTCATCCTGAGAGCCTGCAGATCCTGCTGGGAGGGCCCACCAGGGACACGGTGGGGTAGGGTCAGGTGGCCAGTGATCCCGGAGTCTCCTGCGCTGGCTTGTGAAGACCATCCCACCCACCCCGTCCTGCAGAGAGAGCACCGAGGGGAGGCTATGTGTGGGACACGGTACATGTGTACGCGTGGCTGCACGGACAGGCAGCCACTGAACTCTCTGGGCCTCGTGGCTGTCTGTTCAAACCTGCCCCAGACCAGGACTGTTATTTCACCCCATTCATGCGACAAACCAGAGCTCTGAGTGACTGCTGACTTAACCAAGATCACGTAGGGAATAACAGAGCCAGAATTCAAACCCAGGTCTGACTTATACACAGACACTCATGCTCCGTGCCGGGCATTGCATGGGAAGAAGGGCCAGGTCCCCAGTTAGTGCAGGGGCTGAGAGGCCTGGACTCTAGGGAGTTAAGGGGGCTCTCAGGATCAAGATGACGCCCAAGGGAGGCTGTGCAGGACGGCTCTGGAGGCCTCACCCGGGCTCCTACCTGCCCAGCTCCGGTCGTCATGGCAACCACAGCCTAGGGAGCCCATTGGCCCTGCTGCCTGAGAAGGGGCCAGTCCTCCGCTAGGCTGGCTGGAGAGGCAGGCTGCCTCCCAGAGAAGGGAAGGGGCTTGGGAGGTGGAGCGGGAGGAAAGGCTTAAAAAAATAAAATGTTCTGATTTCGGGCTTCCACCTGTTACCTGGGGTGTCGGAAAAGAGACTTCTCAGCCCCAGGACCACCAGAGGAATCACGGCCCCGCCAGAGCCAAGAGTCCCAGCTCAATTCTGAAATCCTAAGGGGCCTGGAACTGGCCAGAGGGGACTTCCCGGGGACAGCATTGTGAGCCCAACCCGCCATCTATTTTTCTCTCTTGGTAATTTTGGCCATGCCATGTGCCAAGCAGCACGGTCCCCCGACCAGGGACTGAGCCTGGGTCTCTGCAGAGAAAGCACCGAGTCCTAACCACCAGGCCGACAGGGAATCCCCCTAACCATGCCATCTTGAGCAAAGACAGCCCGAGGAGCCAGCGAGGGCTGGGGTGGCCTGTGGTCCTGTCATCTAAAGCCATTTGATAAACATATTAATAAACAAAATATTAATAAATAGATTTAACAGGAAAAGTTTAAAAAAAGTCCCTTTTCACAAGGACTGAATCCCCAAAGCCTTCTTGGGAAAACTCTGGACAGGTCCTTCCCGTAAGGGTCAGCTCAGGCATCACGACCACGTTGGCTGTCACGAACCTGCCCTCTGCCTGCCTATTCCAAGCTCCTCACAACTCAGAGCCGCCCGGCAGCTCCCACGTCCTCTGGAGCAACGGCTGAAGTCCTTGTGACCTGGGAACCAGCGCTGCCCCAGAGGGCGTTCTGGGTTCAGGCAGACAGTCTACACCTATGCTGTCCAAAGGTACTCACCTCACGTGGCTATGGGGCATGTGAGATGTGGTTAGTGTGACAGAAAAAGAAATGTAATCGAACGTTTTATTTAATTTTGGTTCATTTAAGTGCCCACAGTCATATGAGGTGAGCAGCTGGCTGGAGTCTACAGTTGGCCCCATTCGCCCGTCTGCTCCCCCAGGGTAGCTGCCTCGGCTGCCTTTATCTTCTGCCATCCTCAGCGCAGGGGGCACACGGAGGCAGAGGGCGGCTGTCTGCACCCCTCTACACTTGCCCCAGGCCCCTCTTCCCTGCCCCGTCCCCCCAGCTCGGTGACCTCTGACACCCTTTCACGTGCTCCTATATTTGACTTCCCAGGACGGGGCACAGGGCCCCGGGGGAGCCAGTGCCATCCCCTTAACATGGTCTGCCTGTCTGAATTCTCAGGGCAGAATGCTATCCATTTGCTCAGAGACCCGGCTCAGAAGTCGGCCCCACTCCCATTTCACAGACTATGAGACTGAGGCCGAGAGAGGCAGGTTGGCGGGCAGGTCATGGTGCGGCAGACGCGGGGGCACCTCACTCTGGCCTCGTGGCATGGCTTGCGGTCTCGCCTTGCCACCAGCCTGTGGTGGGGTGTTGGGAAAACCCCTCTCGCAGGGCTGAGCCTCAGGACTGTCAAGCAGGGGACCCAGGCAGCTGGAGTTCCAGGGCTCCAGTTCGGACAGCATGGTCCCACTGGCCCCGTAAGGCCTTCACCTGGCAGGTGGAGCTTCGGCTGCCCCAGCCTCAGGCCTGCCCTTCCCTACAGGAAAGGTGGACCATCTCAAGACTGAAAGGGATTATTATTTCTGTCACTACCCGTCACCCAAGGCCCTAAAAATAGCCTCTTAGAGCTGAGCACGGTCCCTGGTGGATCGCTGAGGACGCCTGTCACCTCCCAGACACCAGGTGGGCAGCTGTCGTTGGGAGCCCCCTGACACTTCTCCAGGAGCCCCCCACTGACAGCAGGGCTCGTGGGGCCCTGTGCTACATGGCCCTGTCCTCTGCACAGAGTCGGTCAGGTCTTTCCTGCCCCACCAGCATCAGGGTCAAGAGTCCTGGGGTCAGGTGGGCAGGGTTTCATCCTGGCTGCCTGACTCTGGACAAAGTCACCATGTCTCAATTTCTTAAGCTTTCAAATGTCGGCTGCTGAAATCAGGATGGGCTCCAGAAGACGCCTGGAGGATTACGTGAGATTAAACCCCATCCAATGCTTAGCTAAGGGCCCGGTGTCTGAGGGCTCACCAAGCGCCAGGGTCTTTCTGTTTTCACACAGGTGGTGCCAGGGGGTGCTGGTTTGGGGATAGGAGTTGGGGAAACGTATCAATACCAAGAGTTTAACATGCGATTTCACTGTAAAGGAGGTACTTCTGGGACAAAGGAACAGTCATGGGTCTGAGCGTTCAACTCAAAAGGATTTAAAACAAAGACCTAGGAACCACCTAAAAGTCCATCTGGAGCCCGGCAGATGAACCCATAGTTCATCTATGACAGAAGACCACGTATCTGTTTAAAAAGCAGTTTTTCCATGGGACTTCCCTGATGGTCCAACGGTTAAGGCTCCATGTTCCCAATGCAGGTGGCACAGGTTCTATCCCTAGTTGGGGAACTAAGATCCTACATACTGCATGGTGAGGCCAAAAAAAAAAAAAGAACTCTACGGTATGCAAATTATATCTCAATTTAAAAGATGGAAGAAAGAAAGGGTAGGAACTTTGGTGATACCCTGAGGCATCGTATAAAAGATGGAAGAAAAGTGTTATTCGCTCAGTCGTGTCCGACTCTTTGCCACTCCCATGGACTGTAGCCTGCCAGACTCCTCTGTGCGTGGAAATGTCCAGGCAAGAATACTGGAGTGGGTAGCTGTTCCCTTATCCAGGAGGTCTTCCAGGCCCAGGGATCAAATTCAGGTCTCCTGTATTGCAGGTGGATCCTTTACCATCCAAGTCACCAGGGAAGAAAGACAGTGGAAAATCACAGAAGGATGGTGACCAGGGCTTGTTCCCATGGGAACAAGGACTGAGGATGCTTGAAAGCACCTCCCTTGTGGGAGGAGCCCCCCAGAGAACAAGCCCCCTGCCTCCCTGGTGTCTTCAGCTCTGGGCGGTGTAAGCACTGCCCCCCTCAGCTGTGGGTCCTTTCCTGAGGGATCAGAACACGGGGCTGGGCGGGGGCAGAAACAGGGTGCTGAGCAGCCAGCACTGACCACAGGCCACGGTCCAGCTAAGCCCCCGGGGAGAGCAGCACGTACCCAGGAAGCCCTCCTCATCGACAATGATGGTGTAATCCTCCGGGGTCTCGGTCAGACTGAAGAACTTGCACCTGGGGGGACAGACAGACAGACACAGAGTATCGTTAAGTCCCAGCAGCCCCTGCGGTAGCCACCCACCCGTGATCTGGTGTACCCAGCGCTCTGATCAAGGCTGCTGGAGCCGGGGTGGGGGTCACTGATTCTCTCTCTCCAGTGCCCCAGCTGATTCAGGGGGTCTCAGAGAGGCCTAGAGGTGATGACTGTTTCCTCCACCACCCCGAGTCTGTGGGGACCCCCAAGCTGGCCAGCCCTCAGGGTCGCCTCTAGGCCCAAGGGCAGCTCTGGCAGGAACCATGCAGATGAACTGTGTTTTCCAGCCTACCTGAACCCCCACATTCTGACCTCTGGGCCTCTGTCACTGTGCTGTGTCCCCTGCCTGTGGTCCCGGCCCCTCTCCTCACCAAGTCAAGAGCCCCACCTTCATTCAGGGCCTAGTTCACATCACCCCACCGAGAGCTCCGCCTTTAGGGCACACTTCTTCCTTGCAAGATAGAGGGGTGTGGTCCTGTGTGCCATTTTGGGGCATGGATCCCTGAACCGCCTCTGGTAACACTGCTTAGCCTGGGGTGTAAATTGCTCATCCTCTACCCCAAGTGGGACCATCCATTTCCTAAGGCCAGGTAGGGTCCGGCAATCACCCTGTCCTTCTGCATCTCGTCCCTGCTGGTCTCAGCCCTGAGCGCGCTCTGGGCACCTGGCGGACAGGCTGGGCTCCGTGTCCAGACCGCCCTTGGGCTGGGCTCTGAGGCTGTCACCGGGTGAGGGGGAGGGTTACCTCCTCTCACTGCCTATCTCCCTGCTCCCCATCCAGCTAGTGGCCCCCAGAACACCCCAGGCGCCGCGACAGGGAGAGATGGCATGCTCAGGCAGCGGTGTGTGGGAAACTGCCCACAGTCATTTATTTTTCCGGTGTCACCGATCTCACGAGTGAGGTGCAGCTTGGGCTCTGCGCCCAACGTCTAAAACCCATCCATCACGGGACGTCGTGACACAGAGAGGCCCAACGAGTAACCCTGGCAAGGGCCCGAACGGCACTTCTACGAAGATTAAAATGGGAAAGGAATCCTGAAGTGTCACGGGATGGGGGTGGCCGGAATGTTACACAAACCTCTCTCCTCCTAGTTTCCCCTGTCCTGGCAGCCGCCCTCCAACACTGAAGCCTTGTCACCAGAACCCCCACAGCGCCCTTTTCCCTTTTTTATTTTTTTTTAAAAATTAATTTAACTGGAGGATAATTACAATACTGTGGTGGCTTCTGCCATACATCGACATGAATCAGCCACGGGTGCACATGTGTCCCCCCATCCTGAATGCCCCCTCCCATCTCCCTCCCCTTTTTTCTTTAAATTTTTCACAAGGCATGAGATCCACCGGAACTGGTAGGAACGCAAAATGGTGCAGCTGTTAGGGAAAACGGTTTGTGTTCCTCACACACTGAAACATACATGACCACAGGCAGTCCTACTCCTGGGTATGGGCTGGAGAGAGATGAAAACATGCCCACACAAACAACTGTATGCAAAATGTTTAGAGCCTTTATCTGTAACCACCCCGAACTGCAAACATTCCAACATCCTCCCTGCAGCTGGAGAACTGGGTAAACTGTGTGGCACATCCACGCCAGCGAATACCAGTCAGCAACGAAGAGGAGTGAATTAGTGATTCCTGCAATAAAGTGGATGAAACTCAAGAGCATTGGGCTAAGGTAAAGCCACACTCAACAGGTTAACGTACCCCATGATTCCATTTATGTGAGATTCTGATTTAGCTATCTTTTTAAATTAAACTTTTTGTCTTGTATTGGAGTAGAGCCGATTAACAATGTTTCAGTAGTTTCAGGTGGACAGCAGAGGGACTCAGCCGTGCACACACACGTATCCCTTCTCCCCCAGACTCCCCTCCCGCCCAGGCTGCCACGCAACACGGAGCAGTGTTCCCGCGCTCTACAGTAGGACCTTGCTGGTTATCCATTTTAACTGCAGCAGTGGGCACCTTCCAAGGTCCCTAACTACCCCCATCGCTCCCCTCACCCCCAGCAACCATAGATTTGTTTTCTAAGTCTGTGAGTCTTCTCCTGATCTGTAAATAAGTTCATCTGTATCATGTCTTTTAGATTCCACATACAAGGGATGTCATACAATGTTTCTGCTTCTCGGTCTGACTTACTCCCGTGTGTCATTCTGGAAGAGGCAAAACTGTAAGGATGGAGAACAGAACAGATCCCTGGCTGCCTGGGGCTGGGTTGGGGTTGATGTTGGAGGGTCACCAGGAACTTTTTGGGGTGAATGAGGTGTTTGGTTTCTTTCTTAAAAAAATTTTGTTTATGGCTGTGCTGGGTCTTCTTTGCTGGGCAAAGGCTTTCTCTAGTTGTGGCAAGCGGGGGCTTCTCATTGCTGTGGCTTCTCTTGCTGTGGAGCGTGGGGTCCAGGCACACAGGCTTCAGTAGTTGCGGCTTGTGGACTGAGTTGCTCTGAGGCACGTGATCTCTTTCTGGACCAGGGAATCAAACTCATGACCCCTGCACTGGCAGGCGGATTTTTAACCACTGGACCACCAGGAAGTCTGGTGTTTGGTTTCTTGATCATTGTGGTGGTGACAAGATCATATACGTTTTTCAAAACGGAAAGAACTATACCCTAAAAAGGGTGACTTTTACCGTATATACAGATTATACCGCCATGAACCCGGCCTTAAGAAAAGTGCTGGTGCCAGACTCATAAATGAGGGGGCACCCCTCCCCCTCCTTGACATTCAGCTCACCCAGCAGCACACACTGTTCAATTTCCCTCCAGGTCTTTGGTTTTCAAATTACATCTCTTGCCCCTGCCTGTCCCACATCCAATTTGCAACTATTGCTTGGACAAGCGAAATCTATAATTGCTGGGGGACAGCAACGCATTATCACCTTAGTGAGTGGCAATCACTGGTCTGGCCTAGTTCCTTCCTGGGGACCCCCGTGTGCTCAGAAAGTCTCAGGAACCCCCTCTCCCCAGCCATCGTCAGAATGCCACAAGCAAGTACACCCTGGGAAGGGGCAGGCAACCCAGCCATCCGAGAGCCCCGGGAAGGCAAACAGATGTGGTGCTTGCTCTGGGTGCCTTCTTGGCGGTGAGGGATGCTCCAGAAATAGACTGCATAAATGACCCTGAGGGCATAAACACCGGCAGAAGGCAACATCGGCCTCTGCATAAATGGGGGTATGACTATGCTGTTGATGTGACCCACGGCTGAGGGCCAGCTGGTAGACATCCATCTCGGAATGTGCACCTTGGCATGGGCAGGCCTCTGGGAGGGCGAGTTGGCCAGAGGGACCTGCAGCTACTCCTCTGGTCATCAAGCTCAGGAGGACCTATTCTATTTCCCTCTCATGTCCTATACGTCTCTGAGCTCAACCCATCTCCACCGCCTCCCACCCCAGTCGCTCTGAGATCTGTTTTTGCCTCTCCCCATCATTCTCCTCCACACAAATGCTTGCCTAGAAGCCTCTCCAGTCTCCTTCCCAACTCTTGCCTGTCTCATCTCATGCATCCAAAGGCTGACAAATATTCTTTCCACTGCCCAGCACCCTCTTCCCTGCTCTTTGGCTGGACACGTGCTGCTCATCCTTCAAGACTCAGTTTAAGCATCTTCTTTGGGGTGAAATCTTTTCTAACTGGCACCAGCCACCTCCTCTGTCTCACCTCCCACCATAGGAGGGGTCTTCCCTGGATGTTAAAGCCGATCGCGGACAGTTAGGCTTGGTGGTGCATCACAGCTTTAGGGGACAGTTCATTCATCTCAGAGTGTCTGTGAAGGATGCCTGCAAGAGGTGGGCAGTGCACAACCTGTACAACTGCACATGATGGTCTTGAATGCTTTCCACAGTCTGTGACAGGTAACACCTGTTTCCCCCCAGTGGACCATATAAGCTCTCAAAGGGAAGGACGGTGGGTTCTCTGTACATATACCTTGTATCTGACATGGGCTGGACAGAGTATCAATACTCAAAGCCTGATGAGCAAAAGAGTGAACTATGGCCACATACCTACCCCCAAAGCCAGAGAAGCCCCCATCACAGCAAACCCTGCCTGCCTGTGTGTGGCACTGCTTGGACTTCCCCACCTCTGGGAGATGCTCAAGTCTCCAGTCCCAACCCCACACTCTCTAACGAGCTGTGGCTAAACCCACTCCCCAGATGCCGGGCCTCGGTGTTTGCGGTGTCTCTGTGCTTTGTCTAAGGAGCCGGGGAGAGGAACAAGACCCAGCAATTACTCAGGCTGCTGCTGAGTGCTGTTAGGAAATCCGAGGAGGAGGGGAAGCATTTGCCCTCTAGATGCCCTCATGGCGCTAAGGAACACGATGAAATAACAGGGTTAGAGAGAGCCGCCTGGGGGAGCGGGAAGAGGACCAAGGTCCTGGAGGCAAGAGGTCCGAGTCCCAGTCCCAGTCTGGCGCCGGGGGTGGTGAACCCTGGGCCGCCTCATTCCTCTGTACGTGTCCAATGAAGGACACGTTCAAGGGGGACTGGGTTCCCTGTAGTCCCAGCTTGGGCAAGAAGGGCACAGGCCCCGTGGAACCCTGCCAGCTCCATAGCAAGCTGGACCTCAAGGGGCCTGGCGACAAGGCATGGAGAGACGATCCCAGAACCATCAAATCTGTCTGGGAAACGCTTTTCAAGGGCAGGCGAAAATCCCATCCAGCTCTGATCAGAACCCAAGGCAGATCTGTTGCCCAGGCAGCTGGGCAGGTGGTAACATCACACCTCTGGGGGGAGGGCTCATTCATCACACAGTCTGTGTGAAGAGCACCCTCAGGATTGGGCAGTGCACAACCTGTGCAACTGTGTGTGATGGTCGATTGGCAGGGGCACTCAGGTAGAGTCCTGGGCGATGTAGGAGGGAGACTGGGAACAACAGCCCTAGAGGCAGTCCTGGTTCACTGTGGTTCAGGACACACTCCAAGGGTTGTAATGCAAGTCCCCTGTCCAGGAGATGCCAACACATCCTTGGGCTCTGTGAACAAAGCACAGGTGCTAATGGTTTATGTCTGTTCAGAGACTCACAGGCCTGGTAGAGCATGCCCAGGGGAAATGAGGGGACTTTAGACAGCACCCCCTTCCTGCCTAGAGGAAGAGTCTAGCTGTCATCTTTAAATCTCCGTGGCTGCTCTGGACCAGAGAAGGGAACAGTGCTGCTGTTTATGGCTGTGTGACCTTCGGCAAGTTACTTAACCTCTCTGTGCCTCAGTTTTGTCATGTGAAGAGTGAGGGTAACAGTGTCCACTTCCTAGGGTTGCTGCTGAAGAATAAATGAGTGTATACCCAGCACGGCCATGGTAAGCACTCAATATGTTGGCCATTTTTCCTTCTCAAGGACAGAGGCAGCTGAGTTGGGGACCACGGGGAGGCCAGCTTCTGTTGCCAGTTAGAAAAGCTCTAAAGCCAAATGAGGGCTTCTCTAGTGGCTCAGTGGTAAAGACTGCGCCTGCAATGCAGGAGGGATGCGGGTTCGATCCCTAGGTTTGGAAGATCACCCCTGGAGGAGGAAACGGCAACCCACTCCAGTATTCTTGCCTGGGAAATCCCCGTGGATAGAGGAGCCTGGCAGACTATAGTCCATGGGGTGACAAAGAGTCGGACATGACTGAGCAATTGAGCCTGAGCAAAGCCAAATGGGCTACAGAGACCAGCAGGTAGTGAGATGTTATGAGATGTTACCTTTCGGAGGGGCTGAGCCCCAGGCTGGTGGGCTTCAGGGGTGATGCTACATTGACAGGGAGGATGGATTAAGCCACTTTCAAGGTTCTGGGAAGCGCTGAGTCTCTGGATTCCTTGAGACATTTGGCCCTTACATGCTGACCCCAAGCAACAAGCTTTGGCTAAAAAGTCTCCATTTATCTTCCCAGTAGTTTGGCACCCATCAGGTAGCCAGCAAAGGGATGATGGTCTATGACGGAAGAAACCAACTCAGCCTGCAATTCCCAGTGGATCTGCTGGAGCCAAACCCACTCCCTGGTCCCAGCTCCCTGACATGCCATGCTGGGACCTCAAGAATCTACAGACATTCAGCATGTCTGACATTCAGCATGTCTGAGCACACAGACTGTCGGGATCAGGGGAGCCAGGAAGGTGGCCTGACACATCACCATTGGGTGGGAGCTCCTATCAGCATCCTTTTTGCCTTCCCCATTCACCTGAGGGCTGGGTGGTGGTCCTGCCCTCCTCTCCTCGTTTCCCAGACATCACAAAGACCCTCTGACACAGTCAGGGCTCAGCAGAAGTCACCTTTCCGTGGAATCCTATGCGGAAGTCTTGGTCTCTGTGAGGCGGGAGACAGCTTTGTGGGCCAGACCCTCCCGGGACCAGGGCCTGTTTTCTGCAGGGTCACCACGTGCTCCTCCCAGACAGACCTTGCTGAGGTTGCCTGGCCACAGAATAAATCCAGATAAATCCAGCCCTTGGCAATTAGAGCCCTGGTCAGCTGGGCTTTTTGTCTTTTTATACAGTTCATAGGGTTCTCACGGGAAGAATACTGGAGTGATCTGCCATTCCCTCCTCTGTGCTAAAGCTGAAGCTCCAGTACTTTGCCCACCTGATGTGAACAGCTGACTCACTGGAAAAGACCCTGATGATGGGAAAGATTGAAGGCAGGAAGAGAAGGGGACGACAGAGGATGAGATGCTTGGATGGCATCACCGATTCGATGGACATGAACTTGGGCAAACTCCGGCAGACAGTGAGGAACAGGGAGGCCTGGTGTGCTTCAGTCCATGGGGTCACAGAGTCAGACACGACTTGGTGACTGAACAACAGCTGGGCTACGGCGTGAGCACCAGACAGGCCCTGCAAACTGGACTTGAGAACAGGCTTCCAGCATGTCCCAGGTACCCATAATTCCTTTGCTCAAGCAAGGCCTCTGAGCGCTCATTTTAAATTTCAGCACCTGGACACCTATGCCTGTTTCCCACCAAGGGAACGAGGGAGGTTCAACTACATCTTCCTCTGCAGCACATCACAGCGAGCAGATGGAGGGAGGGGCCAGGCTCCGACCCACTTCTGGGGGCCATCCCACTGCCTCCTCCAGCCCCGCTGATGCATTCCTGCAGTGGAGCACAGGAGCCTCGAACTTGGATTACAGCGAGGGACAGACGCGCTTCTGGGGTGCTCACGGCGCTGGTCTCCCTCCTTCCTGGGCTCCTCTTCTCTCAGGACATCCAGGCGGAGGGTGTGGGTCAGACTTTCTTCTGTTACCCAGCCGTGACTTTTTCTTCTGCTTCTCCTGGGTCTTTGATAGGTCTTTTGTGTTATTTACAATTCATTTCTACGGTCATTAACAACTAGAAGCTGCCAATTCAAGTTTTAGTTAGAAAAAACTAAATCAGTTGTTTTAGTTAACAACTAGAAGCTGCCGTTTCAAGCACTGTGTCAGTGCTGTGATTTGAAGGGCAGTCCTAAAGAATGTCCTTTTTCTGTTAAGATGGAAAAAAAAATCTGCTTCAGTCTTGGGTGGTCAGGAGAATCAGACAGCAGGGGTATCAGTGCTCACAAATTCCAGGGTGATACGCAGAGACAGGACTGCAGAAAGGGGCTGGGTAGGGCGGAGGGAATCGGTAAGGTCTGGATAAATCCCGAGAGCCAGGCAAGAGTCTAATGCAGTGGCTAGATCACTCAGTCTTTCAACAAACAAATGGTTAAGTGCCTTTAATGTATAAAGGCACTGCTTCGTGTGCTGGAGACACACCTTAAATAATTGGACAATTAGAATTTCCATGGGGGCTGGATAAATAGTGAGTCAGACAGTGGTGTGTACCTCAGAGCCAATGAAAAAGGGAGTCTGCAGTTTAAAGCAGAGTGGGGAGTGGCTGCCAGGGGCTGGGGCGGGGGGTGGGGGCTAAGGGAAGGGGGAGCGATCATTAAATGGGTGCAGAATTTCACTTTTGAGATGATGCAAAGTTCTGGAGGTGGATGGCGGTGAAGGCTGCGGAACAATGGAATGTAAGGATTTAATGCCACTGAGAAATACACGAGGCACTGAAAAGCTTCTACAGGACTCATGGGGATTTTCTCTCGCTCTCTTTTTTAAATGGTGGACAAATGTATTTAACAAGAAATATTACAAAAAATTAAAATGATAATACTTTCTGTTAAGTACATTTGTTCACCAAAAAAAAAAAAAAGAGGGGACTTCCCTGGTGGTCGAGTGGTTAAGAATCCACCTTCCAAGGAAGGGGACTCGGGTTCGATCCCTGGTTGGGGAGCTCCTGATCCCATATACC